AACAGTGAAAATATCATGAGTTTATTTTATAGGAAACAACAGTTAATTTATGTTCGTGCCATTATACATGACGAAATTTCCAACGTTAACATACTATAATAGGCTTCTATATTTAAAATGTATTTGAAAACTTTAATGCGATTAGCAATCTCAATTCCAACAAAAGTAGTTTCGATTACCGGTATCCAAACACTGAAATTTAAATAACCAAAAACTTATACCTAACACGTCATTCATCAACTCAACTAGTAACAGCTTTATATGAAATATACCTACATAATTTTTTAGTCTATCCATAACTAATTAAACTACGAAAAAAAGGTGAAAAAGATATTGGAACAGGTATATACTACCCATCCATATTGCAAAGCCTACTTATAATATAATTTCGACAGGAGAGTCAACGAAACAATATTACTAGCTAAAGTCTAAGCAATATTAGAATATGGTTAATAACAACAAGCTTAAACAGCATATACTTACTTCTCTTTAGGATCAGTTGCTCTCAATGCGTTGATAGACAAAAAGAAGTTTTCGGCTTCCTCATTGGGACTTTTAGAGAACAACTCTGCATACAGTACTTGAGGATCGGAAGAAATGGCTTTATAGTTGCCTAAATCATAATCAGAAAGTAGCCATGAATCATTGCTGATATGCAGTTGGTATATAACTTGATAGCTAGAATATGGTAAACAAAAAGTATTTGATAAGGAAGTTTCCATTCATGTTTCTAAAGATGGATGAGTAATTAATTCGTAGTTTTGTTACACACTTAACTACTCAGTTTCAATTTACGGGTATAACGTGACGAAATGATAAATATAATCGGTTTTAAAGGGATCAAATAACCCTACTACTTTAAAAATTTAGAGGTTCTCAAAGTAGCTTTTTACAATATGTATTGAAAATACATTTATTTTTATTTTATCCAGACTTCAGGACTTATCGCAAATAAAATGAAAGCCATTTGGTGAATGATAACTGGTTATTTCGACAAACTTTGGTAAAGAACCTTGTAAATGATGAAGATGATAGGATGAAAGCAAATAGCATGGTGAAATACCATAAGTAATTCAGTTGCGCCTCAATTCTCTATAATGTATTTCCGAAAACCTTAACTAAGCACAAAGATGACCTGATTGTAAGAAACAGACTACTTTCAGTACTCATGGTGACTACTGAAGGTAGCCAATCTGGGTGTCTCATTGGCACCACTTTCAAATGCATTTACCAAGTACTTATCAAATACAGCTAGTTACGTATACACGATTCAAGTGAGTTAAATTTCGAAATTAACTCACCTATCTCATAAGTTAAGGAAAACAATATAATAGTTCAAGAAAGAAATTATCAATTCTAGTTGCAATATGGGATACAAGACAAATATATATTGACTGACAATAACACACTTCTTGACTGCATTGTCCGGTAAAAGTAGAAAACAATGAATAAGAACATAAAATGAGCAAGATGAATTCTACGTTTAGAAAAGGCGATTAAACGACACAATATCATCGCAACTTGTTTGCACTTGTATGACTAAAGACTGCTGATCAGCTACAGTTACTGCACTTTTCACTACAAATTTTCACTATACTCGAACAGTTTTTCAAAGATAAAACTGGCCAACCACCATGTATTTGGGCTGGATTTTTAATTTAATGAGCAGTCCGTCAAATTTTTTGGTGGCAAGACTACTTTGTTAGTATTACAGGTTACCCTTGCATCCATATCTATACAAAAATAAACATTTTTATAGTACTTGTCAAAAAAGTTAGTTTTATTTTGTACTAATATTTAAATTATCTTGATGTAGATAAGTCAATATATCAACGAAAAATGGAGCAGCATAATGATCAAATAAACTACATCGCAATATTACGCACATTTAGTTTTCTACAATTAGGAAGTCAAAATGACTGTGTTTGAAGAAAGTGAAGTAAAGGCTGTAGCACTAAAACTATCCCACAATTCTAAGAGGCGAAAGTGTAGGTTAATTAAGCTCACGACGAACATCGAGTTAAATGAATGTTAATAAATGGTTGCGCAAGATCATGGATCGATCGAAGTTAGACATCAAAACCGTTGAATGCCGGTCCAGTGGTCTAGAGGTTGAACGTTCGCGCGCCAGACGGAAGATCCTGGATTTGAGTTCTGCGTGTGGAATCGTGGATGTGCACCGCTGAGGAGTTGCATACTAGAACGAAATGGCCATCCAGTGCTTCCAGGTTTTCAGTGGTCTAGCTTAGATAGACCCATGAATTCAACAAATAAAATTACTACAATCTCCACAGATCCTCATTCTGACAATGTTAATATTTAGTAAATACTGATAAACATTGGTGACTTGTTGATTAACGCGCTCGACTTTAAACCACTAGATCACAGGTTTAAATTTCTCTGCAGTTTGGTTTGAGCACTTGAATAGAAACACTGGCCTTTACAAAAAATATGGCTTGAAGCCGAGTACACGAAATCGCAAATGCTAAGCGAAATACGGTAAGCACATATACATGTTACTTATTTTATTAGTTTAAATTTTTATGAAACTCAATTTTAAGTTGTTGTGGAAAAACCTAAAATCAAGTACTATTTTGAAAAGTTAGTTGGCGTTAATATAATCATATAATTTGATGCAATATATCGTTCTAACTTACCGTCTTTCTCAATCAGGTGCCCAAAAGGATTATTCAAACGTATGATATGACGTCATATACGACCCAAATATTTACGAATAGACTGTCCTATGAATGATTACGATCTATTAATATTTTTAATAACCCAGAAGTAACATATAGTAGCTACGCTCCAGTGACTATCCTGAATGTTAAAATAATCATATTGAATCGACGGTAATATACTATGATCAAATCCATGAGGTCTGTAGCCTAACCAGTTTTATTCCTGCTTTTAACAACATTCCTTTTAAAAAATCCAGATATAATGGTCAGGTTTATTCGTAGTTTCTTTAAGCCGGACAGACTAGCTTACGTGTAAATGACATAGACATAAATATTTAGTAACACTGGAAAACACGGAAAGTCACCAACCTGGGGAACAATACAAGTTCGAGCAATTTGGTAAGACCAGAAGGCGAGGGCTGATCATTTTCGTCGAGATTCCTTAAAATAACAATCGTTATTTCATGAAAACCTGGACATTCATCATTTGCAACGACTGTACTTTCATTGGTTTTGGGATAAATATAAAAGTCATGAACTTTGGGAAACTGACCGAGGCAACCTAAGCATACACTCGCGAATATGTTAAACAGAAATAATTGACCCTGTCAAGTAAAAAGTGGTTTACATTACGATTTTCAACAAGAAATTAGGAAAGCACTTTGAGGAATAAATATATGTGAATTGACCGATCAATAAAATAGTGCTCATCAGACGCCTCTTTTTAAACACAAATACACATTTCATGGAGCAAATAAAGCTGATAAACACTGGGCATATGTATGGATTCCGAACATGTAATGATTCTGGTAATAATAACTACTCCTTGAGGATTATGTTATAATTAGTTTACGGATCTAACTTAATTATAAGTGCTGTGAAAGAATTTATATACGATGAGAATACTCAACTTTCAAGTTTTGATACCCAATAAACGCCCATGTCCACTATTTCTCTGAGGTAATATAAAAGCGAAATTACTATGACCATCTATCCCAAAGACTAGCAAACCAGGAAATGGAAATACGCACGATCTGTATACCTTTAAATATTAGATGTGAAGAATGAAATTAAATGCACTAGACACTCTAAAGAAAGGACTATTTTACCTGGTTATGTGGGGCTGATGCACTCACTAGAAACATTCACGACTGGTGTATCAGTGTTCGGCAAACAAAACTGAAGCATTCCCTGATACAAACAATAACAAAGTAATAAACGCGATATTTGAGAATAAAAGTGTCTAATAATCCCACACACTTCAAAAATACGTTATACATTTTAATTTTGACCACTAAAAGCTGTAACATTATCTAACGCAACCAAATTAGTGGCAAATACACAAAGCTGTCTGGTTTACACGTCACCTGGAGAAAAATTAGCTTCAAAAACACACGTGTATACTTTGTTAAATCTTACCAAGAATCCGAGGCACTAAATAAAATCCTCTCGGTAAGAAATTACTAGGAAGCAATCGAATATAATGTACGAACTTAGAATGGTTTTAATATCATTAGACCTACCGAGTAGGAAAGTGCCAGACAATAAATTGTGTCACAAATTAATGAAACTTTTCGGAAAGATAAGCCTTCATCAATGACCGAGAACGGATCAAAGAGATTTTGAACAATGAATTGACCAGAATCTTTTACGCAGGTTGTAACATAGCCCGGAGTTTTCTTGGAGTAGAGGAATGATCAAAGTAACCTACCAGTTGAAGATTCCAAACTACTGCAGGATCTATATGGCAACAAAAGAACATTTTCCCTGTTATAAATACACTTTCAGGGCTACTGAAACGGGTTTTAAGTTCTTCAAAGTTCCGTTCAACAAGTTCTAAAGTAAAGAAAAAAATAGGGTTAGCAGATCAATTTTCGCTCCTAATGTATCTTACCTGAATGTAGCTGTACGGAGTTAATATCTCTCCATAACAACAACGAATCCTCGGATCTAAGAAAAAGATCAAAACTAACTGAAAAAGTCAATATCAGTGAAAGGTTACCTGCTGCTGTTGCCACCAGCTGCAAATCATAAATTTTTCCTAAGTGAGTCTGAAAACATATTTTTGTATTCAATGTTTACCAAGGAGAATGCAAGTTCGTGTCTTTCGGGAAGATAGACGTTTAATAAACCTTGCTCATCTAGAAAGAAAAGGAACACAACATTGGCCGGCGAACACACCTTCGAAATATTGCAATCTAAAGAGTAATTTATAGTACTTCTCAAGTACCATGTTCGTAAGAATCGATCACTTTGAAATCACAGTCAAAAATGAAAAACGTCTTGCTTATGACTACAACTTTCTTATCATGCCGCTCAATGAACCCAACTTTGCAAGAAGCTAACTGTAAGTAATTTAAAATGAGACAACTAAGGTAAAAATACGTCTTTGTGTGCAGCGAGTACTACTTTCTCAGCTACATCGAAAATATCGCACATCGCAATAAATTTAAAAAGTCAACACAAGCTGACTTAAACTTTATTTGATGTGATTAAAGCGCTTCAAATTTTGCTGGACAGGAACAACAACTAGTTCATTCTCCGAAAATTACTTTTTAGAAGAGTAGTGACGTAAATTTTCATTTGATCGTTCAGTCTTCAGTAATAAGGATAGTAGGTTGGTGAACCTGTGTTAATCTTAACAATTTATTTTCCAGTGAAGGTTCATCTTCTCCTTAAAAATGTTGACTGATGAGGATGATTCCACTTGTTCAGGTAATACATTTCAGATACTGACTACCCTATCAAAAAACAGAACTTCACTTCAAGTTTACTGAATCGCGGTTTTCGAACCCTCTTGAGTACTGTATCCAAGCAACTGGCCCATGTCTGATTAAAGATACTGACTCACTTAAGCGTGTTCAGAGTGTGGGAACAAAATTAGCGAATGATCTTTCTGATTTCGCTTACGACGAGCGCTTAAAACGCTCGAACCTGTTCCCCTTGTTGTATCGTAGGACTCAAGGTGACTTTATATTGGCATTTTGTATCTTTAATTAAGACTTGGGTCTTAATATGTTCTATCTTTATGCTGCCTCCAGCACTAATAATCTCCGACGTAATAGCAAGAAGGCTAAAAAGCCGCGATCTAATAAACTTAAAGTACGGTTCTGCTTTTCTCATTGACTGGTCTATGACTGGAACGCCATACCTGAACAAGTGGCATCAGCCCCATCAGTCATCATTTTCAAGGAGAAGCTGGACCCCCACCGGAAAATAAACTGCAAGGATTAAGGCAGGTCCGCCAACCTATTGTCCTTATTTCTGAAGACTGATATGGCCCCAAAGATTATTATTGCCAGAGGGCGCAAAAAGATATATCAAAAACAGAATCGTAATGCAAGATACGAAATGCCAATATAAGGTCATCTTGAGCTCTACAATACGATAAGGGGAAAATGTTTAAGGGTTTTAAGAGCTCTTCGTAATGGAGTTTAGGAAGACTACTAATTTTGTATCCCACACACTAAATATACTCATGTGATTTAGTATCCTTAATACGACATATACCAGATGAATGGATACGTAGGTGATATATAAAACTCGAAACATCTCTTCGTCAAAGCATTTGGATTCTCGGTTAAGTGACGATAACGCACAAAAAACCGTGCCAGCTGCTGCGTTGCAGTGCATAATCGTCTTTAAGTTGTGATGTTCTATTACCTCTAAATCTTTGTGTTCCTACATGCATGGAAGAGATATACCGTCGATACAGGCAACTGTTATCATGTCCAATGTGCATGAGCACAATTTTTTATACAATTAGTTTCTAAACCCCAACCTCGGGCCCGTTTAAATAATTCGTTTTGGTCAACCTGGAGATCAAAGTGGTCAGCCTCAGTTCTTACTGTTCGCCAGATTTTGATATAACCTGGGAACAATGATTTCAACGACTTATGCAATCTCAGCAACTCATTGACATGGAGAAGGAGAAGTAGAGGGCCTAAGGTGGTGCTTTAGGGTAGGCCACTTCTGACCAATTCCTCACCCACCCTCACCCTCTATTGTCAACCAAATAACAAAGTTTATCATCCATTCCTTTACAGCACCTATTATTCCGAAGCTCAAGAGCTTCTGTATAAGACAGAAGTGAGAAGCCTTATCAAATACTTTGTTGAAGTCTATGAACATTACATCAACAGATAGACAATTATTTAGGGATGCTGTCTAATCATTGATCACAATAAATAAGTTGGTCAAGCACGAATGTCTGTTTCGAATACCGTGCTGCTCATGGGTTAACAGATCGTAGGATTCTATCTGACCTGGTAAGTTAACCCGAATTGTCTTCTCAAGTTAGATACGATATACCTCTGACCATCTTCAAATTTATGGCTAATTATAGCATCTTTCTCATATTTAGGGAGTTGAGTGTGAGAAAGAGACGTGTTCAGTTGTATCGTAAATGGCCTTGAAATAATGTTCACGAGGAATCACAGCGATCGTGGATGTAACCCAACAGAAACCCGACATCTTAGCAGGTCTGCGGTTAGTGATCAATAGAAGAACAGTTTCACCAGTAGCATCTGCAGGTCTTATAGCTGGCATTTTGGTGGGACGGTTTTGACAAGTATTGATGGCAAAACCCGCAGTGTATATTTCGCCAAAATGTTTTGATAAGGTCTCAGCTTTTGCCAGATCTGATTTAGACAGTATATCTGAGTTTTCGTGTGACAGTATGGAGGAATACCTTTTCTAACCTTTGTTCTTCGTTTAATGTACGAGAACAATCGTTTCAGGCAGATTTGGCTATCATATGCCAACTGTCTTTCGTAAATTGAACGGCATCTAGATATGGTCTTCCTACAGGTATTCTGTAGTCTTCGGTATTCACACTTAGATTATTCGTTGCCTGTTGATAAGAATAAGCCATAGACGCTTTTTTGAGCTTCAGAAGCTTTCAAGTTTCCTTTTTAATCCATGGAGGGCAATATGACAGCCCACGTTTTGACCGTGGGATGTGCGGCGATGTTACAGACTCGAATGTGGCTTAAAAATTGTTCCATTCGTCTTCGATAGATACATTTGTGTTGGTGAACCAATCAGTTGAGACAGTACAGTCTCCGATTGCTAGAATGTTAGCCAGCTGGATATTGGAACATGGCGGAGAAGATGCATACTGTAAACCATGTGTCCGAAATCTGGAGCAAAGTACGACGTGATCATATTCCAAAAACAGATATGACTTAAGATAGTCCTAAGAAGGACAACATGGACTACGGTATGTTCCTCTGATGTGATCAGTTGTACACGAAAGCGATGTCTAGCATATAGTATTATGCCTCAGTCCTCACGATTTATAACAGTTTCACTTCTACCTCAGATATAACCTTCAATGATGGGTGAACAGTCTATGTCTACGATGAGCTAAGTTTGTGTGACAATAATTATATCGGGACACCACCATTATACTTAACTCGAGCGCCTTATTTCTGAGACCACGAGCGTTCGTGTAGCACACAATTAAGGTGTTTTGAGGATTACTCGTTCTATCCAAACAGGTTTCGGAAGTATTGGCTTCGAGGACCTGATCATCCGAAAAACCTGAATTTGAAGGTTCGTTTCGCAATTTAGCTTTCACGTTTTCAATTTTGTAAGGGCATTCTTCCGTTTGGTTTGGTCCTCATGTAGCCAGTCTGGCTGGATACGAATATATAAACAACGAGTTTTCTATGCATTACTCAGTATGATGATATATATCCTAGGAACCTTCATGGGACCTCAGATTCAGCCAAATTCGGATCGTGTGCATGCCTTCTAGCAGAATCATTAATTTTTGACTCCTCCAGATTTCAAACAGTTTGACTTCTTTGAAAGTTGTGTTCACGGCTTTCGATCGTGATGTCATAACCTGACTGCCTATACCAGAGATTTATCTTTCGTTGTTTTCGTGTAGGTTGAGCATATTACTAACGACAATACTCGATTAGACTAAACGTTTTTCAACGCTAGAGTTAAATATGGTCTTACTTTGGGACTCGGTAGAGTAAACTGCGCCGTAGTGTGCGCCCAACAAAGACCTGTCAAATAAACGGGCGCGGTTTGTGCCTATTTTTTTCTTTTCTTCCATGTTTTCGCACTATCCACCATTTCCCATTGGTCAGGTCATCTTCATCTAGATTACTCGGGACGGTGACGCTATTATATGTGTCACCAGTTGCTACTGCAGCAACGTGACCATCAATATATAATGGTATTTCACTCTATATTTGTTTCTAGAGAGATTCGTCTGTTGCATGTTGCACGGTCGAAAGTTTGTTATTATTATTCACAAACATCTTATGGGTACATAAGTGTTGTGAAGAAACCATTTCGGGTTTCTTCAAAAATGCAATAATACACCATTTTCAATAATGTTAGTATTATACTTGCCATTTTAAAAAAAGAGTAATAATACTAGAATATTGACAATAATAAATCGGGTCTGTGTAATTGAGAAGAATATTGAATTGAGTTTAAAAAAGAAATGGAGAAAATAGGGGAATGGAAATAAAGGAGACGTGAAATACGCAAACAGTTTAATTGGCGTGTTTATGAACATAAAACAAGAACAAACGACTATGTACATATCGTCAAATTAGTAACAAAAAATAATTAAGAAAAAACAACTTATTATTGTAGTAAGATATGACGCTAGAATAAATGTTTGTGCAGTCATAGTTTGGAGTGATGCGATGAAAGTCTCAATTGATTGAAAAGGATAATGAAATATAAATATGTATGAGTCATATATGCCTAGTGAAGATAAAACGGGTCCGAGAAGTTAATTTAAGTGTAACACTAGTTATTGTCTTAATTACAAACTTCGTAATCTTAAGAATATTTATTTCGAGGGAAAGAAAAGAGAAAAGAAGTGAACACCCAGTGAAAAGGTTCACCCATGATAAGAATAATAATTGTGTGATAAATGTCGACCTCAGAAGTAAACCAGCAATTGAGAAAAATAAAATAAAACATCTTTTAGTGCACTCGGGTGAATACATTTAGATTTATGTAATAGTATGCAAAGTGAAACCGGATATTAGCATAAATATTAGTGCAATAATAATTAAGAATGATGCTATGACACGTTCTGTAACAGCATTTACTACGTTGACACACTTTTTGCTGCTGGTACCCATACTATCAGTCTAGCCATCATCCACCATTTTGCCGACCGGCGACACAAGGTTAATCGCCTCTTGGATGAGAAATGTCTTGCTCGAACAACAAAACATACGGAGCCAATGAGAGTTAGTTTTTGAACTCTATTTGTATGTGGTGGGATTTACATGTGTGCACCACCTATTGCACTCATCATATTTCATTCCTTCCTGCTCAGTGAATAAATTATTTGGCCGTCTACAG